TTACTAGTAGTAGGAAGAGAACTCAGATTTTCGTGCCTGTTACTAAGCATAGGAAAATCAAATTCATCAAATACAACATGCTTAACAATATAAATTCTTCCTGTTGCATCAAGGCATTTATAACCCTTATGATTACAACTATAGCCTAAAAAGATACACGGTTTGGACCTGTAATCCATTTTATATTGATTATAAGGTCGAAGATATGGGTAACACCTGCAGCCAAAACGTCTAAAGATGTTGTAATCTGGTTTCTTATGAAATAGAATTTCAAAAGATACTTCAAACGGACTCTTTATAGGGGGGAGGTACCTGCAAAAGGCACTCCGACGCTCAAGTCAGGACAAGCACGATATTTTAGGATAATTAATGAACAGTGACATACCTTGACAAAAGTGACCTATTTATACTACTGCTGATGGGCCTTGTCAGTAGTGGGCCTCTCCTGAAGTTTACCAAATTAGGTAATACGATGCTAATAGGCTAATTATGCCTTAATCACGCACTTATCCTTATTAACCACGATAAAGGCTCTAATTATTGCCTCCTCATTCGTTACGCATTTGCTGCGCTGAACTGCTTGTTCGGGACTTGTCCGAGCCGGTTCGTGGCCTGCAAAGATGTCTATGGTTCTATTCGTATCGGCCTTAAGCTGAGCCGATCGTGCTATCAAGCTCACTTCGGCCTTTGGTTATAGCCCGAGTCGATGCTGATGTCAAGACTTTTGGGCATAATTCACTTCGCATGGGTGTCTGATGGGACGACACGTGTTGGTCCACGTGACCGATAGGGTCCTCCCGGTACATCGACAATATATAAAAATAAATTAAACTCCTTTATACCATCAAACATTATTTTTGAATTTTAATTTTGATATATATATATATATATATATTCTGTACATAATTACTTACATCTTAATTAACTAGAAATCCTTTTAAATATAATTTTAAAATTGTTGTTAACATGTTAGTTCATATTTAAATGATAATAAAAAAAATATTTTTACGCTATCAATATCTTTTTCAATCAAACTTTTATTTTATATTAAAATCAAATTTTTATATTATAAACCAATCAAAATCACTTTTGGTATAATTTTTTAAATAATTATTATAAAGTTAACAAACTTATTAAATATATAATAAATTAATTATCATAAAATAAATCACTTTTATACTAAAATTAGGAGTTGACAAATACACATATAGTTAGTTTTTTTTTCGCTTAAAATAGTAATGATATAGGTTAAATTATTATATTTATTTTATTAGCAGTAATGTATAAATCTTACTGTATATTTTTATTGAGATTGTTATTTTTTTTTATTTTTTATTGAAAGAGATATGTCTTGGTGTAATCTAAATTTGTATTTATATAAAAACAATAATAAAATCTTACACCGTGAATATATATTCTTTTATTAATTAAAACAAATGGAAGTGTACAGCGAATTATGCTTCTTTCTTCAATTGTTTTAGCCACATGAGCCAGCATTATCTTGTCAATTGGGTGTCTTTTTCCTGATTAACAAATATAAGGGTCCCAATCTGGCAATTTCTATAGCTACCATGAGACAAATTAAAACCCATCTTCATCTCTTATGCATGCCATCCACACACCAAAAAAAAATAAAAAATTGTCTCTAGGCTTAAAACAATTTTGGACAAAGACATAAAGTTATAACCACTTTGTGTTTCCTTTAAATGTGATGAAAACTAAGTGGTTAACTAAAATACCAAATGTGGCTTTCATGCCTCGGAATCTTTCTTACTTTCATCCCTTCCTTTGTTTTTTCATCTCATAGACTATTAATTATATGTATTTTGGATATTTTAATTTATTTTAAAATATTGTCTTTTTCATAGAAGTGTTAATTACTTCTTTTCCAACAACACCCTATTTATTAAAGAATATTAATAATTGTCCAAGTATAAAATATTAAGAAAAATATAATTTGTATCAATAAATCATTAATTTAAGTGATACGATCTTTTTAAATAAAATTTCGATCTCCTTAAATAATATCTTTCAAAATTACTATTTTTTTTAAAAAAAAGAGTTCAACTCAATTCAATTTTTTTTATTATAATTCAAATAAATAATATATTGGCATTTTTAAAAAAATATGCATTACATAATGTTTTCTTATCTCAAAAGCCCTCTAGATGCATGATACTTGAATCCACGTTGGCAGTGTGGTAAAGGGTCCAAACTTTGATAAATATTGTAGAATATTTGCAAACCTAAGTTTAATATTATAGTGATGCAACAACCAATGTGTTGATATAATATGATGTATCATGTAGTTTGCCTGCCAGCAGCATCATAGTTTGTCTCATGTGAGAGATTATGGTCACTAAGTACTGATAAAGAGTTATTAAACGCTACCATTTATAAAAAACATTCATACATTCCATATTTTAAGATAACAGCGCACGTAAAGTATCAGTATGTGCTAATGTGAGGTGGATATAACAGATCACATGGATAGCACAATAGAACGTAATTAGAAGTAGGTGCATATCCCTAACTAGTTACAATTTTTTACCTCATAAACACCTCCATAAAAAGTTCTTTTAAAATCTACTATTATTTAACTTTAAAAATAAATTATATCAAGCCAATAACTGTTTCATAAGTTGTTGGATAGTTGAATAGTAAAGGACTAATAATAATATTTTAAAAATTAATGCAAAATTACAAAATGTAAAGTAAATTATTATTATTATTATTATAAACATTTACTATAATCACAGTAACTAGATTATTTTTTAGAGAAAACCACGACATGGTGCTACAATCAAAGTGCAATCACGACATCGTGGGGACAGATTTCGCACAAGAAAAACATTAGAATTGCATTTTAATCAGTGCTCAAGTTAGACGCCAAAGTGTTTGTGGGGGATAAAAATAATGCTAACTTTAAATTAAATCAATCTTGATTTTTTTCATGCTAACTCTCTTTTACTAACAATCATGCATACTACACAGTCAAAAAAAACTTTTCATTGTTCATTATTTTTATACAAAATTTCAATAAATAAAGAAAACTAATACCTCTATACATAAATTTAATTAAAATATACTGAAAAAATATATATACTTTTTACACCATCAATTATAATATTTAAAATTAATGCATAGGATACATTTTTATTTCATGTGACTAAAATTTATAATTTTTAAGCGTAACTAAATTTTATAATAAATGAATACTTTTTAATATGTAAAGCATATTATAATTGAATTATTTTTTATTTCTCATTATTTTAAAAAATTTAATTTAATTTAGAAATTAATATAATAGATTAAAAAAATTTAGAAGTTAGTAAAAAATCCTAAAGAAGTGTTGTTGAAAAAAAAATAGTTAAAAAAACTCATTAAATAATAGTCTTAAAAACATTTTTTTTCAAAAATTATTTTTATAATTTAAATATAGAAAGAATTATTAAATTAAAGCATATAAACAGTAGAAGTCTATCAGATATAAATTTACTTTTAATTGGTTTTAACTATAACCGGTTGCAAACTCAATTATAATCATAATCGGATATATAACTAGTTTTAGATATATGAAAAATTATTTAAAAATCATAACCGGTTTTATTATATATAAAAAAAAGTATTCACAATTGGAATATCATTTTATTTAGTTTTTTTTTCTTCTGTAAATTTGTTATTCAATTTTCTCACATTTTTTAAAATTACTACAAATCTTTTATATCACCTAATTATTAACCACTTACATATATTTAATTACTTTTTTTTTATTAGATTGTTAAGTGACATTTTCAAGTATTATCATAATTGTTAGTGATATTAAAATAAATGACATTTAAATTTTTTTATATAGATATTTAAAACAAATATTCCTTATATACCTTAAAATGATCTTTAAAAATCAAATTAATAACTTTAAATTTTAAAGGGGCAAAAGTTTAAGAAAAATATTTTACAATGATCAAAATTAATATTTACTTATTTTACAAAAATTAAAAATAATATTTATAAATTTTAAAAGAATGAAAAATATTTTTTTTTATTAACATTAAAATTAAAATTTGTCCATTTTATATTAATTAAAAATATATTTAAAACATATGAATATCTGGTGAAAAAAGTATTTATATAAATATAAACATCCCTTAGGGGCAGGGTCCATTTCCATAGACCATAATAGAGCATAGTGGTGTCCTGGGAGACAGTTGGGAGCTGCATGCATCGTAGGTGGTGCAGACAGAAGGCCACTATTTGTAATTGGTGAGAACTGAGAACTGTGAAAACATAAAAAGATGAACGCCACGTGCTCCTCACTACACTCCTGCTTCTCCACGTCGCAGTTGCCACAATCAATGAATCTTCACCATTCCAACACACAAGAATATCCTCCACGCCTTCTTAATTGCCCTTCGTTTTTCTCAATCCACACCTCTTCATCATAATTAATCAATCCCATTATGCCTCCTTAAATGACGCTATTCGCCCTTTCCAATTCAACCAATACGTTTGGTAGGACTGTGCTACTGCAACCTCCTTTTTTTTTTTCTTTTCCCTTTTCCTTTTCCTTTTCAACCTCTCAACTTCCAATCCAACCAACCAACCATTCTTTTTCCTCATCAATCACTCCTCTTTTGCAAGAATCTCATTGACACGACCCTAGAGTTAGAGACAGTCCTCCATTTATTTTAATATTTCATTAATCACATTATAATTAAAACACCATTTTTTTTATAATTATTTTTAATTGACGGGTCCATCCAAAACCGTAACCGCTTCTTAGATTTTTATATTACTACATGAATTTTGTATCCCTAAGCTACGCCCTTTACCTATGCTAGCTACACTACACTACACTTTGGTAAGTAGTGCGTTTCATTTGTTGGCAAGCAAGCTCACACTAGAAGTGCCAGCTGGCACGCCATTAAAAAACTCCTTCTGGAAGGGTCAACCTCTCCGTGTCACGCCGTTACAGTGTGACAGTCCGTGAAACGGAGTGGCATTGCCGTAATAACACTCAAAACGGAGGGTTTTTGCGTAGTGGGAGGTGCACATCACATGCGGCCAAGCTCCACTCTGCACAGAACACCACCGAACCGAAAACTGTGAGCGATAAGAGCAAGAGAGAGAGAGAGAGAGACAAAGAGTGATATACAAGGACTAGAGCTCCTTCGCGCAAAGCAATGCCTGCAATCACCTGAATTCTATGCTCCTTTTCCCTTTCTCCGCATGTCTCTTTTACGTAAGTATCACGAGCCTCCTATAACAACCACTGCTTATGCATTTTTCTGTAGCGTCTCATCGATTCTTTTCATTTCCTTGTTTAGGTAAAACTGTTTAATCCTGCATTTATCACGCTTCTCGACTTTTTTTAAATGTTAATAAATAACTAAACAGAGAGATTAAACCGGATTTGGTTGTATTTTAATTATAGATTATAGATTTCATGCATGGATGCAGTGACTTTAGATTTCTTCAGTGTCAAGATTTTTTGTTTTTTTTTCTTTCGGTTTATTTATTTTGTTGACCGATTTAATTGCATTTGCTAATTTTGCAGTGTCTTTGTCCCTGAATATCCAAGATCTTCAACGGCAATGCTATCTCTGAGAGACATTTTTCTGAGGAATGCTTGATCCGGCCTGAAATATTATTCTACTGTTGAGATTTCTCTGCTTCACTTTGTCTTGTGTCGTGCGAGTGGAGCAGCCTCTATTTTCTTACAAGGTATGGATAATTTTTATGCATGTGTGTTCAGGGTGCATTATTTTTTTTATTTATATAATGATCATTATAATTTATTCTAATTTTTCTGACATTTTATTTTATTTTATTTTATTTTATAATCATCATTATTATTTATTGCTATTTCTTGATGAAATTATTAAGGATTAAAATGGAGTTTTGGAAATTGGTGTTCTGAGCTGATGTGGCTGGATTTTTAGGTTGATTTGTTGAGAGCATGGCTTCATGGGATCAAATGGGGGAGCTTGCAAATGTGGCGCAGTTGACTGGCGTGGATGCTGTGCGGCTGATTGGGATGATTGTGAGAGCTGCCAGCACTGCGCGGATGCATAAGAAAAACTGCCGGCAGTTTGCTCAGCATCTGAAGTTGATTGGGAACTTGCTGGAGCAGCTCAAGATCTCGGAGCTGAAGAAGTACCCAGAAACTAGGGAGCCTCTAGAGCAGCTGGAAGATGCGCTCAGAAGGTCTTACATATTGGTCAATAGTTGTCAGGACCGGAGTTACCTTTATTTGCTGGCTATGGGATGGAACATTGTTTACCAGTTCAGGAAGGCTCAGAATGAGATTGACAGATACCTGCGTCTTGTTCCTCTCATTACTCTTGTGGACAATGCTCGAGTCAGGGTATTACTTTGCCGTGCTCAATTGTATGCTATCTCTTGTTGTGAATGGTCTTTGTATTGTTGATCACCTAAAAAATGATAGAGGAAAAAGTTAATGTTTTTTTACTTATTGGAATTACTCTTTTAACTTCTAGGAAGCTACTGATCAATCATGCCAGAGTTGTATTCCCCTTCAAATCTATGTCTATATTGTTTACTTAGCCATCTTAGCTTATAATAATAATCTTGATTTCAAGGTTTTCAACACTTGTTGCATGTTCTTGTCAGCTTCAACATTGTACAGTGGTTTAGTTTGAGGCTATTAAAAAGGGGTTACTCACATCTTCAGTGTTGTCCTAAACATTTTATCCAGCATGGTCCATATTTTGCTAGATACCCCAGATTAGTTGTTATTGATTGTTTCAGTTACCTCTCTGAAATATTGTAGTGTATTTGCACTGAAAGTTTGAAATTTTGGCTTGTGAAAATTTGGGTCCCACCCTAGTTAGTTGCATGTACTGAATATGTACAGCGTACAGCCAGTTAACCATATTAAATGGTTTAGTTTGATATGCAACTTGTATGCTTAAATCTATGGAAAATTAGTTTGAATATGTCTTCTTAAGGATCCATTTAGTTTGATCCTATCACTACATCCCTTGATGTTTTGTCATTTGTGTTGTACTATTTGCTACCTAGCCCATAAGGTTTAGCTGCTTCATTTTGATCCTGTAAACAGAGTTGGGTATTTCTTTTACTTTTACCTTAGTTTTCAATCAGCAACACTATAAAAAAGGCAGTAGCCTATGTTGTAAGCCATCGACCAATTAATAAACTCCCTGTTCCTCTTCTCGTGTTTTTGTGAGAGAATACAGATGAATGTCTATGTGTCTGGCTGTTGTGCAAGTTGCAGCATTTTGTTTCTGGATTTTGCGCATTCCCAATATTTATGAGGATTTTGACCTGGTTTATATTGTCATTTTAATGGTAGCATCTGTGTTTGTAAATTTGGTCTGAATGTATGGTTAACAATCTATTACTTCTTTCATGCTCTGGAATATTCAGGAGAGACTTGAAGTTATTGAAATGGATCAACGTGAATACACATTGGATGATGAGGACCAAAAGGCACAGACAGTTATTTTTAAACCTGAGCCTGACAAAGATGACACTGCTGTGTTGAAGAAAACACTATCTTGTTCATACCCTAACTGTTCTTTCACTGAAGCACTTAAAAAAGAAAATGAAAAGCTTAAACTAGAGCTACAGCGGTCACAAGCAAATTTGGATATGAATCAGTGTGAAGTCATTCAACGTTTATTAGATGTCACAGAAGTTGCAGCTTATTCTGTTCCAGAGAAGTGTTTGGCGGAGAAAAATCACAAGAAAGAGGAATACAGTTACTCTGATGCCAACGGTGACAAGGACCATTCATCTGATGAAAAATACAATGCAAAAGTTGACAAGCATTCACCGGCAAGGTGATTTATTTCTCTCTTCCTCAACTTCAATGTGTTTAGGTTCAATCAGGATAACTAGTTGTCCAAATGTCGAAATATTTATGTGAAATTTGAATTCTTTGACTATACCCTTCTCTCATCTAGGAAGTCAAAAGTTTACCCTTAGTTTTAGCTATTCTAATTCTAAAAGCTTGAAGTTCCTGCTTCCATCCCTTTATTCCATTGGAATGCAGCCAATAACTATTTTTAATTAGTTTATCTGTCTTTACCTTTGTGATTTTTTACTTATATTGATGTCAAACAGATATTCAGTCGCACAAAAGGATCTGGTATCAACTGGAGGTTCATATCAGCAGGAGGATTGGCACACTGATTTACTTGCTTGTTGTTCTGAACCTTCTCTTTGTATGTTCTCCCTTGCTTGATTTTCTTTAGGTTTTGTTTACTATTCTTTCACCCGAGGTTCATTACCTGTATATTGTGGTTCACTGTATTTGTAGCCTTATCAACTATAATGCACTTTCTTGTTCATTTCCATCATGTCAGTAATACTAGTTTATAGTCTGCAACCCTTTTTCATATATGATGCTTCAAAATCCAAGTCACAAAACCATGTTCTTTTGTGCCATCATCTTGAGGTTTTTTGTTTGAGTAAACTAAGGTTTCTCTTTCACAAATGTAATTTCCCTCAAGTTGCACTTATGGGGATGTGATTTGCATGATATGCTACTTAACACTGAATTTCATGAAATAGACAACTGCGTGTAAATTCAAAAGTAAGATAGATATGGTTCAAACTTGAGGAAAAAAATGATTGCATGGCTATAAGAATCGCAGTGTTGTGTACAACCGAGTATTGGGTGGTAAAAAGCTAACAAGAGAATAGACTCGATGTAGTAGAGATTAAAATGTTGTGTTTCACGAGTGGTCATACTAGACAAAATTTAGGCATGAATGAATTAGAGGGAAAGTTGGGGTAAGGGTAATACCTACCATAGACAAAATGGTAGAAGTTTGCCTTAGATAGTTTGGACATGTGTAGAGATGACTTGAAGAAGCTTAAATAAGGAGAATAGATTAGATGGAGGGTACCCTATATCTAGAGGAAGAGAGAGATCAAGAAAAGAATAAGCAAAACCATTAAGAAATATTTAGAGGCCAATGATTTATTTGTTTGTAAATATGATTCATAATAAAATATTATGGTCTTATTTGATCTGATGTGGTTATCCTCACTTAGTGGGAAATGTTTGGTGGTTGTTGTTGTCTTGATGTATATGGCTTGTCAAATGCACATGGAATAAGATGAATTCATGTTGAATCAGGAACTAGTAAGATTTATGTTGCTGGACACCTTTTTTCATCTGTGAATCTCAATCAGACTAGATGCTGTTGATAGTAGTTGTGGAAATTGCTTTTCGCCGTTTTTAACTTACATGTTGATACACACATGAATAGTTGTTTGAAAACCCCTCATGTTTTTTTTTTATGAAATAGATATCTGGAGTCCTTTGAACCGCAAAAAAAAAAAAGGAAATAGTATAAACAAAAAAGAATTAACTCCAGAGAACCTTCAATACCTCTATACTTCCATCACTAATAATAAGTATAACATTTGCTCTGCAGGTATGAAGACATTCTTCTATCCTTGCGGGACATTTTCAAAGATTGCTTCTGTTGCGAGAAACAGGCCCATATGTAAGTTGGCTACAATGCTTTAAAGTGATGAATTTACTTCTGACTGCTGTTTCATTTTAAATGTTTCCTGCCAACAAAAAGCTAGAACTTATGTTGACATCAATCTTAACACTATTATGTATCAGTGCGAATGAGATATCGTGCCGTATTCAATTCTCTTCCTTGTTTAACATGACTTTTTTTGGGAAACTGGAGTGATAAAATTTGGAATCTATACTTTGTTAGCTTAGCTGAAGATTAAATTATGGTTTCTACAGTCACCACACTCCATTTCAGAACTAGACTGATCACTCATTGATGCTTCCAGATAACCCTAATGTCTTGTTCAGACTAAAATAAACCTTGTCTGAAGTCTTATCTACACTTTCTTATGTTTTGAAGACTGGACATGATAATGACTCAAACCACTCAGGCCAATAGACCCACTATTTGGAAAGTCTATTCTAGAAAAAATGGAACTTAGTTTTAATAAATGTAATTTTAGAACTCGGCTATAAGGGGGAGTCACTGTAGGGGTTTCTGAACTCTAGGACATTCAATAAATTGCTGTAGTTTCTGCTGGAGTCATCTAATCCTATTTTCATCTATTACAACTGGTGTTCTATCAGAAGCAGAGTTATATATTGAATTTTACCAATAATGAAGACATAATTTTATGTAATTCAGATCTTTTCCATACCTTACAAGTAAATGCTAAGGGTTCTCTTTGTTGCAAAAAAAATTCTCATGGGTTGCAAGGTTGTCAAACTGATGAGTTTGCGATTCTAGGTAGAGAAAACAAGTTAACTTTATGTCAAACTCAAACTCTATTCTGGATAAAGCTAGGTTAACTCTTTAAATTTGTATAAACTATCGAGTCAAAAAAGCAAATTAATGAGTTTGAAATCAAATGTAACTTTTGTCTCCTCATGACCCCATAATGTTAGTGTTTTACTGTGATTCAAGTGATTTGAAGATATCAACTCATTTTTCAAATGTTTTCACTTTAGTATCGTATGTTTTTATGGATTTATGTATAATTTGGTTGTTTGTGTAGCTTAATCTTACTTAGTACTTTTGTACTATAACACATTATTGTTGTAGTTTGCTACTTTACGTTGCTATATCATGGAGTGAAATATTAGATTATTGTTAAGAGTATTATATTATGCATATTTGTCATTATATTTTTAATTTTTTTTTAATAATAGGCAAACTCATAATCTTATGAGTTTAAGAGTCAAGTCTACAGAAGTTCCAGAAGTTTATGTAGACTCGAGTTTGGCAACCTTGGTTGCTTGTTATGTTTACCATCAATTTGGTTGGTTTGAAACACTTTGAGCATTATTGAGGTTCTGTTACTATGATTTCAGTTTTGTGTTTTTTCAGCCTCGGGAGAAGCATGTAATGACTTGATGGCATATTCATTAATATTGTCTTGCTGTTGCTATACTTGCTGCGTAAGGAGGAAGCTTCGGAAGATGTTGAACATCACAGTAATGCTTCCTTCCTTCTCTACATCAATATGACTTCACATCCCCTCCTTTTTGTTACCCAGTATTTGTGGATTTTTAGACATGATTAGCTTTGCACGGAAACTTTTATTGACATCATTAGTCATTACTCATTGTAAATGTATTCATTTTATTCCATGAGATATATTCCATAATCCACATCTATTTAAGCATGCTCATATCATTCGGTATCTTATTATTTCAAAATAGGTTCTGATAGTCGAATTTTCAAGGTTAGTTAAAAATATAGAGATAATGAATATGTTAAGATTTGAGCATACATAAGTATTTAGTCTTACTATTATGCATACATTTGCTGCTCCCTTTCAATGTGTTTTTACCCACAACTACTTTCTATGCTAGGGGGGCTTTATTGATGATTTTCTCTCTCATTTGATGTGTTGCTGCTGTGCCCTTGTGCAAGAATGGAGAGAAGTGGAGATCCGTGGGCTTAGTGGTATGTCCTAATTCTTCAGCTTGCTTGAATGCAAAATTCGAAGTGCTAATTAACCATGCAGGTGTCTTTGTCGTCTTTCCTTTTCTCAGCAAAAGCTGTTGAATTTTGTTCTAGCTTATAATAAATTTCTATTTTACCGCGGCGTTTTCTTACCAGCTCCAAATTTTTCTTGCTGATCAATGCTCAAGTTGCATGCGAAATATTTGATGTTAAAACCATTTTGCAGGCCATGAGAAGACCAAAACAAGCCCTCCACCCTCCCAGTACATGGAATCTTAACTAACAAATGATATTATCATTTGGTTGTTTAGGGATTCAATGTTCCTTGAAGAGCATATTATAATTCTCACTGGAAGGCAGGAATTATGTATTTTTATTCTTACCGCACCTGGCCTCGTTTAACTATTGTACAGTAGTTTTATGTTGTTGTACTGGTAAAAGTTGCTTTTAGATATAGTAGATGCCTTGATGGTGTATCATAAACCTATTTTTTGTTTCCCTGGTTTAATATAGTCTGTCTTGAGTTAATTTCTTGGCATGCTTTGTCATGTATAAAATTAAAATATATCATTTGTCGTAACTAATTCAATAAACTAATCTTGGTTTTTGTTAATTTTGGTTTTTATTTTCTTGATACATTGACAAAATAATAAAGCTAAAGGAGACGGAGTTAATCTCGAAGCTCTTTGTACATAATATCAGCCTGCAAGAGTGTTGATACTCTTAATCTTTGGAGGACTGTCTAAATCGTTGTCATTGACATGCGTTCACATTTCAGCCAGATAATCAGGAGGTTTAAAGCGAACATCAAAGGTCTAAAGCTAATTTTGATGTGAGATTTTTTTAAACTAGTAATATTTTTAATAAAAACTACTAATTTACTAAAATGATTATATTTTTATTGAAGTTTATTTTTATAACATTTTAAAGTGCAGGATTATTTATGAAATTATTATAATTATTTTTGTTCAACCGTTTTTTCTCAATAATAAAGCTCATTTAGTTTTCTTAATAATAAGAATACTGCAGTGATATCATGGACTAGTGGTATAATATTAAAATATGAGATTCCTTATTTAAAAATGTTATATAAAGTGATCTTATAAGGATTATAACTCTTGACCTTCATAATAAACTTACCATTTAAATCACTAAATCACTTAACTTTATAGATATAAATTGAACACTTAACATTATTTTTTGAGTTAATTTTTTTTTCTTAAATTTCTTATCTAGCATTAATTTAGCTTAAAATTTAATTAATAATAAATTTATTTAATAAAAATAATAATTTTTTTAAATAAATTTATTACTACTTATATTCCTTTTTATAAGATTCAACTTAAAATAATTGTTCATTATTATAAGACTCAATTCATAGTATTTAATGTATTAATTATTTTTAGACTACAATACTCCAAATTAAAATATGTTCTCTTAATTTATTGAAATATATTAATTATAAATTCTTTAAAGGATATATATTTTAATAGATTTGGAGAATAAACAATATTAACTATAAGAGAGAAGTAATGTATGACATGCACTTTAATTGGTTGAGATGGAAATAAATATTAATTAAATATAAAAATAGTACAATAATACGTTTAAAAAATATATAAAAATAAGATAAATTTATTGATATCAATTAGATTAACTATTTTTTTTTTATCTTAGTACATTAAATTTAGGTCTTATATATAAGAGTAGAGACAATATTTACTAAAAATAAAATGACAATGAGTCATTGGCTGGTTGATATAACATGTTAGTTGTCATATTGTGTTTTTAGTTAACTTGTTTGGTGACATGCATATTGATATAGAACAATATAAGCATTTTAGTGACCAAAACAATAATAACAAAATATTTTACTTTTGTTGAGGATCAAAAAGAACTTAAAATAAAATATTTTGAAAAAAAACAATGTGTATATATATATATTTGTTTTTTTTCTTTTGTCTCTATTTGACTTTAAAATATCTAGATTTCTATCAATAATTATTTTTTAATATTCAAATATTTATACTTAAAATTTTAAGTTAAGTTGGATAATTTGAGATAACCATTAACTTCATATTAGAGTATCATTCAACTATTTTTTTAAAATACTTTTTTAAGCTAAAAAAAATGTCTTTAATGCCATCCAACTAACTAAAACCCCGTTGTTACTACTCCTAATAGGTCTAAATTCAGTTTTCAATAGAAAGTTGTTTTTAATTATTAAGAATACAATTTTAATTTTTAAATATAAAATATATCTCAAGTAATATTTAAAGAAATTTATAGATTAATCCCAAGCGTGTGGTTCAGTGGTAAGGGTTGATCCACGTTTAAGCAATGTCAGAGATTCGAGTCCTGCCTTATTTATGCAGCCACGTTAAATCTTGGGACCAGCTATCCCACTTTGAGGTGCCTCCCTTCAATGATGGATACTCCAGGGACGAATCAGAAAAAAAAAAAAAAATTTATAGATTTTTAATCTTTTATTTTTTCATTTTTTCTTGAGTTAAATTTATTTATTCCTTTCATTTACGATTTTATGGAGACTTTCTATAACTTCTTAGACATAAATTATTCTTATCTTTTTTAATTATTTTTATCTCTGTTGATATATGTATATAACATTTTAAATTATTTTATCTCTTATTTGATTCAGCTATCTACATATCTATGATTCAATAAGAACGTAAATTATATTTAGATTAAATCTAATAATTATATCCTTCTATTTTATGGCCAATCTACCATTTTAACAAAAATAAATATGAAAAGAATAACATATAATCTAGAAAAATAATACATTTATTACTTGAATCCATATCCATATCTCTCAGTAAAAAGTGTAATATTTATACTTATGGTTATGGTGGTTAAAAAAAAAGAGAAAATAAATGTATCTAGTAAAAAAAAAAAAAAAGGCATCAGAAAACCAAATTCGCTATTAAACAACAGTGATTTATTTAGGCACGTGGGAGAGAGAGGAGAATGGATAAACAAAGGAAACGAAACAAAACATTTAAAAGAGAAAGAAAAGGAAAAGAGGGCCCAACCCAACCCAATAGCGGTATAAATAAGGCAATCCCTTTATTATTTACACCTTTTTCACCCCAATCAGAGAAAAGCTAGGGTTTGCGACTTTCCCTTTTCCGAATCCAAATCAGAATCCAATCAATCGGCGATGTCGTCGGCGAAGAAGATCACCCTGAAGAGCTCGGACGGCGAGGCGTTCGAGGTGGAGGAGGCGGTGGCGCTGGAGTCGCAGACAATCAAGCACATGATCGAGGACGATTGCGCCGACAGCGGAATCCCTCTCCCTAACGTCACCAGCAAGATCCTGGCCAAGGTAATCGAGTACTGCAAAAAGCACGTCGACGCCGCCAACCCCGACGACAAACCCTCCGAAGAGGATCTCAAGGCTTGGGACACGGATTTCGTCAAGGTCGACCAGGCCACGCTCTTCGATCTCATCCTGGTCAGTTATTTATTTATTTATTTTATTCTTATTTTCTCGATTTGGCGGTTTAATCGATTTTTTTTTATTTGGAATTTGGTTTTAGGTTGTATTTTTCATGTGTTTGCTGTTGCTTTTTTTGTGATCGGTGATGTAGTTGGCGAGGTTCTTCGAGCTGTGTGTGGTTGCAAAACTGGCGATTGGGCAAATTGTTATGTGATGGGATGTTTTAGGTTAACCCTAGCGGAGGGTTTTTGTGCTTGTTTTTGTTGATTGTGAGTTTGATGCGGATTTAGTGTTGCTCTTTTGTAGACATGGTTTATGGATTAGACTTACATGCAGGACCATAGGTTTTGTTGGTGTATTTCTTCAATAAGAGTTGGAGTTTTCGTAAGGTAATGTGCCAAGTAAAGGATTCTATTAAATGTCAACGTGTATTACTTAGGTAAAACTCCAATTATAACTGGAGAACAACACTCACATTACCTGTGGTTATGTATCTCAGTTTTTGACCATGGTTTATTTGTACATTTAGGTGAGTATTTTTTGCATTCAATCGATGATGGTATATTTGTACTTTTTTTTTGTTTGTTCGTGGCTGTTTTTTAGGTTGAATATTTGCATGATATCTAATTGCTTTGTTCAATGTTATTGTGATATAGGTTCCTAGTTTTGATGTCCAAATATTTTTTGGGCTTAAATGTGCCAGTTTTTATTTTTACATATATGGCATGCAAATTTACTGAATTTACTTCTTGTCGACTTGCTTATTGCTTTGGTTTACTTACATCCCATAAATAATCGTTTTGTAATATGTAGACCCAGCCTTTGATTCTCTCGTATCCTGAGCTTGTTTCTTCTTCTCAAACCCTCGCTCTACCTATCTTCCATTGGTGTTGCCTTGCTTCTGTCTTCTCCGGCAACTGTTGCTGTTTACTCTGACAAGTAGCAACATCTCTTTTCTCTGGAGGGTGCTGCTGTTCTATTCTGTCTTTTCTCCTCTTCAGCGAGCTGCCCTTGTTCTCCTTTTTTCTGATGCCTTGCTGCTACTTTTCTGGCGACCTGCTGCCTCCTGTTACTAATGAATTTTGAGTTATTTTTTGTATCATTTTTGGGGAATTGAACTACTAGTCAAAACTATATACTCTCACCACCCACAAAGATTACAGTTTAAAGTTTCTACACATTAAAAATGACAATAAATGTATCACTTTTTATGCAATTTTACTACAATAACCCCACCCTCCCAACAAATGCATTACTTTTAATTAATTAAGGGACAATTTACAATGCTAACACTGCAGTTAATTTGGGACGGAGGGGGTAGAAAATTTCAGAGTAGCAGTCATCCCACTGTCCACTATTATGTGCTATAGTGTTTATGGGGCCGACTGCTACACCCTGATATCTTGAGTTTATAACACTATTGTTAGGGAACCAAAATTTTGCGTTGGTCGTGGTAAAAGTGCAACTAGAACATGTTTTAGAACATCTGAAATTAATATTTAAAATGTAAACTTGTAGATTTATACTGATGACATTCATCATTCCTTAATATTACCGTCCACTTTATTAATGTTATCATCAATGGCTGAGGTCTTCTGCTTTTATGTCTAAAGTACTTTGGAGAAATTAAATGCCTGCATATTTATATTTGCAAATTCCAACTCATAAACTTTAATTTTCTACTACGATCCCTCATTTTCCATGTTTTGATTATTTGGGCAATGGAAAGCTCACATATACTCTATTTATTTAGTGGGTTAATTATGTATTATTAAATATTAATGTAAAAGTTTTTTCTTTAGGCTGCGAACTACTTGAATATCAAGAGCCTGCTGGACCTTACATGCCAGACTGTAGCAGACATGATCAAGGGGAAGACTCCAGAGGAAATTCGCAAGACCTTTAATATCAAGAATGACTTTACTCCAGAGGAAGAAGAGGAAGTTCGTCGGGAAAACCAATGGGCATTTGAATGATTTTGTTAAGCTCATAAAATCTGAATCAAAGATCTGCCATGTGGATTTATGCTATATGCTTGTTTGTTTATCAAAGATCGTCCATGTAGATTTACCTATGCTATATACTTGTTTATTTTATATTTCAGACTCTTTCTGTTGACTGTGTTTATGGGTCAGAATTATCTTTCTTCATGAACTTAAGAGCACTTTGAATTGTAACTTGTAAGTAATAGTTATGATGAAGGGATGCGGTGATTCTGACACAAGGGTTATCGATTTCAATAATAGCCAACCATTGGTTCTTAATTTCCCATCCCATATATTAGGAATATCGATTTCAATAATAATGTAGTGTGGTAATGTAAAGGTGGTGCAGCAAATCAAGATTAGGAAATCGTTTTAACATATTTACTCAGGTGGTAGCTCCATGTTTTAGGTTCTGTTCATACCTCAAATTATTTTTCTTACCTCGTCACTGATCACTGAATACTGATTGATATATTCCAAGTACATTATTATCGTTTAAGATTTTTGGTCTATGAATTTATGTACCAGCACAAAAAGATTAATTTTGTAAAAATGTATAACTAAAAAAAATTCAATTGTGTATATATTAAGAACGTTAATTATTTAAATGTATTTAATTTTTTATGATTTCACATAAAACATACTATATTTAGGTCCAGAAGAGAATTTCACAAGTGAATTCTTTGGCTGTATTTCACCATAATTATTCTATTAGGCACATGTTGATCATTGGAACATTATACACTTGAGCATGTCAGAAAAATTTATCTTGACTAGATCCACATGTAATAAGTGAGATAGTTTTACTTTTCCGACCAAGATCAACCACTTCCTTTTAGCTTGTTCGTTCAACTTTCACATTTTCTGTAAGGTATTGTACATCCCTTGTAAGTCTAATACACTTTTTACAGGGATAGGATAGGTTCATCACTGGAAGCAATGAATCTTATATTAAATTTTTAATAAGATCACAGATGATAAAATTGTGCCTATTTCTATCTTGATTAATGTCATATGATTCAGTTCTACTTGTGCAATAGCATAATAGTTGGCCATATGTGAAGATTAAAGGAGGTACCAAGGAAGTTGGCTGTTGGTGATGATTGGAGGTATCAACGAGCTCAGTGGGAAAACACTCTCATACGTGAGAAATTATTATATGGTTTAAAATTATTATTGTCCTGAATAATTTTTATATATGACAAGTTTGTTTTTTTCTTCTAAGTTAAAAAATTGACTTCGATCGAATCAGACTAGTGATGATCCAAGACTATATAATGCCAGCCATATATGCTCACTTTTTGGATCAGTTTCAGTGCCAGCTAGTAAAGATTAGGAGCAACATCTGAGAACTTATTTCATTTTGCTCACAAAGAAACTTATACATGATACCGGTGAACCGTTTGAATGATCAAGAAATTCTAACATTGGGATTAACTTCCAAAAGAACACTTTTTCCAGTTCTTATGTATATTGCTTGCTTGCAATCTCCCATCTAGTGGGCTATAAAAAAATAGATAGAATCGTAGAAGGGCCTGAAAACACCATTTAGAGTCAGATTTTAGAATGAGTTAAAAACACTATTTGATATGAAATCAGATTTAATTTAGAACAAGAGAATTACAACTTCAGTGAAAAAGAAGAAGCTGAACATGGACATTTGGAGCAATATGATGAGTAATGTTAGTCCTGTAATCAGCAGAATTCTTGTTATTTTTGCAGGGCAAATCGGCGTTGTTTGAATGAAATAAACAGGTGTCATAAATTTAAGACAAATAAAAAGTATAAAGAGCATAAATTCTATCATTTCTAAGAAAGAGATAGATGAAAGAAAAATGATAAAACTATCCAATCATACAAGCTAGTAATACACCGAAATTATCTTCTCTAATCCAAGGAATGAACCTCAAGCAGTCAGAAAAAAAAAAAAAAAAGTCAGATGCATTTGTTCAAAAATTAATTAATTTTTTTTTAAAAATTTTAACATAGAGTAACAATTACAAAAATTACATTTTTAAAATAGAGTAAGAATTACATAAATGTCAAGTATTTTTTTTAAATTAAATTTTTAGAAATTTAAAGCGAGTACGGGTGTAAGACAAGTATATATATATATATATATATATATATATATATATATATATATATATATATATATACTCATACAATCCTCATACCTAATTTAATAAATTGAATATTATCTACGACTTGTCAAATCAGGTATTCCTCGTCAAAATCATACAAATTTGGGTATTACCTATAAATATAAGTTTACTTGTCATCCATATATATGCACACAAACATACACATATATCATATCATATCAAGATTTGCAAATTTAAAAATCGTAAGTTGTCGATCAAGCAACAACTAGTTGTATGAAACAACTTCCACCAAACAAGCCATCTTTAGCATGACACAACATCTTGTTTGCCTTTTGGCCTGATTATACTCTTATCAGAGTCCAACAACATGGAAAAATAAGAGTAAACTTGTATGCAAAAAAAACAACATAATATAAAAGTCATAAGCTAACTACATAAACAACTCCATCACATGAATGCAACTTTATAACTAAGCAACTTTGCCACATAACTTTCAGCTCAACATTCAACAATCCATATAAGCTTCAACAATATTTTTATTAGACAACATTCTAATAAGTTATAAAACTTAACAACATGTCAACATCACAACTTAACAACACAACATTTAGCAACATATCATTTATTTAATAAATGTTATTATGATATAGTCAGTTGTTGCTTGATCGACAATTTATGATTTTATTGTTTTCTAATTTTATAACTTGTATGTATGTAAAGGATTATGTTATAATTTCACAAAAGGATTTTATATTTTAAATTGTTATAAGCAAAATTTGTATCAAATCTTCTACTCTTTACCTATATTATTACATGAATATCTAGGTATTACTTATATGAAAATCCTAAATTAAATGATATTATGTTTATTGTTGCCTAGTCATTAAGTTATAATAAGTGCATAGGTCTATTAAGACGTTACAGAAATAATCGAATTATATTAATACAATTTTTATAAACTTTTATAGTATTTAATATATTAAAGTTTTAATTAATAAATTAAAAATATATTAATAATAACTTCTAATTAGTTGACTGTTATTAAATAATCATTAAACTTGGTCGGTTAATTTCAAATGAAAAGATATTTATGGGTTGTTTCTAATCTTAATTTTAATTATTAAAAAATAATTTATAAAATGTAAAATGTTGACCAAACATTAAGGAACTTACCATGAAGTTTCCTCGTGACTAAGGATTAAGCTCACGCAGGCTATCTATGCATACGGTCTACGTGCTTTTCTTCGTCGTCGTATTTTTGGTGGGAAGAGAATTCGTGCACGGTGCACGGTGCACGCGTGGGGCCGTCACGCGTCAGCGAGAGTAAATATTTTAAACTGATGCCACCTGTGGTTATTTCCACTACTTATGTGTTCCACCAAAACTTTCTCGTTTTTCTTTGATTAGATGCGACAAATTAATTATATGTGCGTTTTTATGTCAATAATTTTTTTCTAAACATTTATAAATAAATTTTCAGCATTTGGAAAAGGTAAATGAGAATTTTTGTGCAAAAATTAAAATATATAAACTGACTGTCACTTCTAATGAAAATTTAATTCATTATTTTTTTTAAATTTTGAGAAATAAATTTCAAAAAGTAAATTTATTATTATATAATGTATAAGTTTGTACAAGATAACTACACAATCCCTTCTAATTTAAAGATCACTAAATACTAAAGTTATCATAAATTTTCTTAATCAAAATTGATGAATATTTCTTAGATTTCTTTTTGTAAAAAAAAAGAGATATATATATATATATATATATATATATATAT